GAAAAAATCGCAGGCTACGTCAAATAAATGCATGTGTCTGTTGTGATTTGTCCACAGTTAGACCAATCACAGCGTCACACTCTGCCGCCTATTCTGGATTTGTTTATTGTGCATTCTGTAGACTCCCATTTCTGTTTGAATTACAACATGGACATCAGAAATTGGCTTAAAAGGTCCAAGGATTTATTAAAATATAGCGATGAAAGAACTGCAGCCGATGGTGCTGCTTGCGACCCTGCACCTGCCGTTGCAGCAGCACGCCTTAATGTCACAAGCTTGACCTCGGCAAACCCCGGGGCTGAGTTAGCGAGCCCAAGCCTTGAATCATTCTTCCTCCTCCTCCTCCTCCTCCTCCTCCGTCCTCCACTACAGACGCTACCTTGCAGCACATCAACAGGTAGGCCTATTATTGGGCCAGCAACCGCTCAAAGACCAACAGCCCCAGATGATCTTGGGGTTAATAAACCCAACCAGGTGAAACTGGATTGTTATCCAGGGAGATTGTTTTCAGGAAAGAAGCTCACTTTTGCCACTGCATGGTGCAACAATAGACCATGGCTTGAATATTCGTTAAAAGCAGACGCAGCCTTTTGTTTCCCCTGTAGACAGTTTAAAGTAAATACGTCTTCATTTATTGCGGCTTCTACTGTCAAAGGTTTTTGCGACTGGAAACACGCATTACAGACTGATAAAGGACCGCTAAGACAAGCCGCATCAAAAGAACACATTTCATGTGAGAGTTTGTGGAGAGAGAGACAGAGACAGATACGCGAGAAAACAAATGAGGAAATTAGNAATCACTTCAAGTCTGGGCATGCTGAGAGCTGTACATACACACAAGGGGAGTTAGTCGGTTCCGTAAGAGCCAGCATGCGGGACCGGGATTCTGGGATTTGTAGTCTTTCTAGTTGCGTATTTTTCATAGTCTTATATTTCAACAGTTTTACGACAAACTGTGACTTTTTTGACATGGAAATTATTTTTTAAGATTGACAAACATCATATGTGTAATTCGTGGCACAATTCAAACGGGATCGAAAGATAATCTTTCTCTCCCCATTGACTTCAATACATAATTTTTCCAAAATAAGGTCCCATGGGTCGGAAGTAGATGGGCGGGACTTCGCCTCTCTATAAGCAAAGGCGCAACTTACCCCAGCTAAACCAATCGGTTGCGTCTTATCCCCACAGCCAATCACAGCACACCCGGCAAACGTTTAAATCTGCTCTTTCTCTCCCCTGCCAGCATCGTTCAGGAGAATTGATGCAACCCTCCTTCACCTCCAGTTTTTTCAGATCCAAGGCAGGATAGCCCAGAAGAACTCTCATCCCTCCGGATTTGTATTTCCCTTTAGTACTCACCACCACCAGTGTCTAGACCCCCGGGGGGTTTCTCTTTCAAGTCGGCTTCTCCTCCCCCTTAATTCATCACAGTATGATGGGGTCTAATCTCCAAAACGCTATTGTTCATACGGCAATAAAGATGTTATCAACTACAAACTAAGTCTCTCCTGATT